TCAATGCATGTATTCTTAAATTTCTTGCTATTTTTTTCCTCAGAACCATCTCCAAACTCTCCGCTTGCCTCATTCTCATCATTAGCATTGGCTTCAGCATTAATACCTTTGTACCATCTTTGTTGTTCGGCCTGTGCAGTTTCATTTTCAGAATCTACTGACAAATATAGGCTTTTTAATGTATTGCTGATAGTTAGTTATAAGTCTTTCCCAGGGCCGTAGCCAGGAGGGGGTATTGGGGGGGGGCAATGCCCTATCTTTTAAATGATGATGCCCTACCTTTAAAACACAACATGCGTTGAGGTTTCTCTAGGAAATTTCAGAGTAGATGAAAGCTCGGTTCCAACCGACATGAGAACCGTTCTAGAACGCTAATTTCCAATCGATCAATTCATTTGTCAAGTAGGATCAACGTTCAACTTATTGAAAATTAGGTGGGCAATTGGAAGTTACTGGTTCTGGAATGGTTTCCATGTCGGTTGGACCACAGTTAATTAATAGACCTGAAATCGAGTAAGTTGGTAGGTATACAGTTATTTTACAAGTTGTACAAGTACAAGAGGTCCATCAAAAATTATTACCTGAACGCGCCATTTTGTTTACTTGTCATAGATGTTATTTATTGGAAAGTTTGCATTTGGCGCCATTACCACCATTTTGTTTACCTATAAAAAATTAAGGGGGGGAGGAAGTAGTGCATGCCCTATGTCAAATTTTTCATGCCCTATCACAAATTTTGACTCTAGCTACGGCCCTGGTCTTTCCACATCCGCACTATGCGATTTAGCATTCAAGACCTGTGCGAAAATATTTTAGTTGCATCAAGGAGAACTGGTTATAGAGTTAACCAACCCAGAATTCAGAAAGCCTCAATTTCTGCAACTTTTCCATTTCTGGATGTTCTAGTATTTCGTCATAATCTAACTTGAATTGAGTTATAGGCAAAGATCTTTCCCCAAAATACGACAAACACTTTAATTAGGCTCTAGCTGACGTCACACACATAACCACACTTTTGATGGGGGGGCCAAACAATGCGTTTGAAGCAATGAAGTAGAAAGAATGTATGGAATGAGCTTTGCGTCATTCGATTGATTCCAGAATGAGATAGCGCTAGTAAGGGCAAGAAATATATTGGATCTCCCATATCTCTCACTCTAACCCTGAGTGAGATAGCGCTAGTAAGGGCAAGAAAATCTCATGGATCTCTCCTGTTCCCTCACTCCTATGGCAAAGGGCTATTCCAACCATCTTACTACTTCATTGGTTTAAAGGCCTATTTATTAGGGAATCCAATCCATCTGTCAAGACAAAAATTCAATATGGCGTGGCAGCCAAGCAAGTTTATGAATATGTGTTTTTTATGCGTGTTTTGGTTATTTTGCTTCGAGTTTTGCTTGCAAGTTTGAATTAGATTTCTTACAAAATATTGGTTGACTAGGTTATTACGTAACCTATTAAGTCGCGCGAAAACTAGATATTTTTGTTGTATTTAGGGCCGGTTTATTCACCTTCTGATAAACTGTCAGGTATGCAATCTGACGGATAAAAACGAAATCTGTAATCTCATTGGTCGGCCAGTTACTCGCCAACCAATAGAATCAAAAAACGGTTAATTTATCTTGCAGGTAGTTACTAGCAAGTTTATCTGAAGATGGATAAGTCGGACCTTAGTGTGTTGTGAAATGCCGAATCAGTGTCTGTTTGTTGTAGAATGTGGGAGGCGCCGAGAAAGGGACAATCAAAATATGTCTTTCTACAGAGTCCTAAGCGTGACAATTTCAGTATATTTTCCCCATTTAAATGAAACATAAGGAAAAAGACGAATAGCATGGTTAGCGGCAATCAAACCATCATATGGTTTTACAATAGGAACACCAAGTAAGGTAAATGATGTGGATAATCCTGACTTGGGCACCTAGCTCTTGCGAATATTGGCTCTACATAATGATAATATCTTGTCGTATTGCACTTAACAGATTTACCCCTCAGAAAAACACCTTAAAACACATAAAAATGTAAAACTTCGAACAAACAGTAGACTGCACACGACTAAGAAATGAAGTTTGGCCAATAGTTTGGCCTATGTGTGGCCGCCACGCCATCTTGAATGTCAGGTCTCAAATGAATCTGGTAATATACCTGTTCAGATAAGTCCGGCGCAGTGAAATTTCAGTTTCACAGTTTTGACTGCTGTAAATAGTTCTCAAACGCTTTGTTTGTTCCCCCAACGAAAGTGAGGTTGTGTGTGTGACGTCAGCTAGTGCCTAATGCTAAATTCGTGAATGTTTTTATCACTGTTAGCTTATCAGCATCTATTTCATACCTTTCGGTGAGAAATTCTACGAGAGATTCAACTACTTCCATGATGACGGGTCATAGTTAGCTTCACTTCTCTGTGCAGTGGAAAAAAATCCTGATTGAAGTTATCAACAAAATGCAAAGCTGGTACAAATAAATCGATACCAATGCATTAAATATCCACCTTTTCAGTGCCTATCAAGTGGCAGTGGTACTAAATTTCATAAGCGAAATCAGTGAATACTACGATACATTACTTATAGATATACATTTCAACAGAGGAACCATATACGATTTTATCTCACCAGCGTTTGTGCACTCTATCATTGAACAAACTCAATCAGATGTTTCCAAGTAATCTGAAGATTGTCGCGTCCTCAATCACAACGACAAAGTTGATTGCTAATAAGACACACATTCAGATATTCGGATATTATTTTCCCATTGCAGATATTACTAAATTCGAGTTGATACGAGCCACACCAGTACTTTTGGAGTCTGGAATTGGACTTTGAACCTTCCACATGATTGATTACAACACTCAAGTATACTTCGAACTCCAAAAATGCAATTTGCAGCAATGCATTCAGTCATATCCAGGAAAACCACCTATTTAAAATATTATTTCTTAAAATCTTAACTTTAAAAAAAAACGTTTACTGAATAAAAGTAAATGTTGCAACCATGTATGCACCCTCAAGTGGCTCAAGTTTAGGATTGAACGAGCGCTCCACAGAAAACGAAGGTACCGAAAACGAAGATGATACAAGAGAATACGCAACTAGACTACAGAACGAGCTGGACTGGTCCCTTAGAAAACGTGTCGCGTGTCGTGTCTGTAATTATTCATTATTCAATTTTCATTTTTATTTTGCATTAAAATTGATTGTTCAATCCAATTTGTTATTAGTGTGTGTGTAAGAAGCGTTCACAGGTTAGTTGATTAATTATTATTTTGTTTGTGAGAGTTCAATTTATACAAATATCATTTTTTCCATTTTTTTTTTTTGTTTGTAACATTTTTTTATAACATGTGCATTGTTCATGTATTTAACAAAAATCGTTTCATGCTGTAAACAACACAGATAAAGAAGTAAATTAAAAACCTAAGAAATTATGTGCTGTCTTTTGTGCTAGGATTTTGATTGTTAGATTTAGAGCGTGCATTAGGGCCTTGTTGAATTTATCAATTTAGAGATATTGGCTCAAAAACAACTATAGCTGAGTAGCTTCCCGTATGGGACCTCAATACCTGCTGGGAAACTGGCTAACTAACAGAAACTCTTCAGAATTGATTATAGGTAGTGTTGATTGAATGTAGTGTGGTGTGTGTAATTGAAATTTTATCACACGAACAGGGGCTGTACCTAATTTAAACTTTCATTGACTTAAATTATAGATTAATTGACTTACAATTATTAAAATGACACAGTATGTTACGATTTTTGAGGAATGTTAGATCGAGGGTTTCTCTGCTGTGCTCTTTCCCCTCGTTAGTTCCAGGATGAGAACGGTACGATTTACTTTAATAATAAAGTAGACGTTTCACAAATTTTTCGTTTCTTTTACATATTACAACTTCCCTTAAATTTCCCAAATATTTGCTATGTCGGGTGCATGTCCAGTAAGTAAAATTGAGTAAGTTTCCACAACATAGGTCCTATTTGTTTTTCATTTAATTTTTCAAAAGGTAATAAAAATTCACACCGTTCAATCTTACTGAACGAACCCGGGTATGTTATACTACAATAATTTTATCACCACTTTATCTGCTCTCTAGTTTCAGTCAGAAACTTATAGAGACAAATCTGTCTTGCATCATTGACCAAAATTGATGAACGACCAGAACCACGGCATTGCAAAATTCAAATGAACGATATACAAACCATCATATGGAAGGAGCTCTGTGCACCCAACACATGGAGGTTCATTACGAATTCCTCGACAACCATATCTGTCATTTGTGACAGCGTGCGGGAAGATGTTACAATAAATACAACAGGCATTATTCAAATATCTCAGGAGTGCACCATCAAAACAAAACAGAATATTTAAATTCCTAAACGAAGCACAGAAAAGAGTCCCTATAGTAATAAATAGTAGTCAGTGTGAAGCACCCTAAGAATCTTCTCTTCGAATCAGTTTTCAGACTGACAACCTAAAAAACCTAGTATGTATATTTGGAATCAGGTTTGAAAGGCTAATTCAATGGGACAATAATAAACGGGGCTTTCCATTTAAAAAAGTAGGTATAACTTTACTTCGCCACACTTTTGTGACACACCCTGAATACTTGCAACTAACATCATTGAAAACTTTCTGATATTACTTCCAACTTTCATCTTTGACATTTCTGGGTACCTCTCCAAACAGGTGAGATAGGTGCGTGGGTGCAAAATATAGGCAATCACCCGGTACGTATATTGTAATAAAAATAAATGAAAAAATACGAAAAGGAACATTTTTGGATCCAAAATCCATCCATATAAAATCAAATATTTCCAAACCATTGGTGCAAAATCCCTTATATAACAACTCATATTAAAAAATGCATAGGATTGCATGCACTTACAGTCAAAATCCTAAAACGTGTGCACCTACCATTAAAAAAAATAATAAGCCCCATTACATTATGCAAGCCCACAATTCAATTTTTGTGCAACTGACAATAATTATATATAATTAATAACAACTCAAAGTAAAAATAAATATTTATTTATTTTGCCGTATAAAATCCTTATTATAAAAGATTATTGATATGTAACTTTATTCTTTGGCTTGATTTCCTCCACCATAAGCCTCGTGAAGATTATCCAACTTATTCGAAATCATTACGCTTTTTTGCGTAGTATTTGTAACTTGCTGCATCAATTCACCGCATTGACCTTCCAGCCTTTTCAACCGTTCCTCTTTTGCTGCCAAATGCTCCTCCAACGTTTTGGTTTTCTGAGTCCCAGACGTACTTGGTTGATTTAGTTGCGAAACTGCTTCTTCAATTATTGAATCCACTAATGAAGCACTAAGTTGGGTTATTGTAGTGTTATCAGGTTCCTCATCATCACTGCTTGATGAACATCTTTCGTCGCTGTAACCACTCTCCAAATCATCACTGGTTACAGTGCTTCTTCTAGAAGCAAACTCAACTCTTAGCTGCTTCCATTGCTGTTCGGTTTTGGAATTCTTCTCTCGGGCCTCTTGCCATTTTTCTCTGGAACATTCCAGCTCTTGTCGTAGAGTGGCCAAGAGTTTACGTTTTTGAGCCAGCTCGTAGCGCAAGATTTTCTCTTGGGTGTGCAACAGTTGGTGTTCTTTTTGCAGTTTGCCAACCACGTGCCAGGTTTTGTTGAGCTCATTTGAAACTGTGCTCAGGCGTTTTTCTTGGTCTTGCAAGCGAGTTTCCAGGTGGGTGTTTAGTTGTTTTAGGTGGCCGGTTTCTTTTTCCAGGGATTTTTTCTCGAGGATCAAGTCTTTAAGTCTTATAAAGGTTTGGCTGACGCTTAGAACTAAGCTTGGACCTTTAAAAAAAATAGTTAATTTTGAATTAGTTTTTGATAATAGAAAATTACCTTTTGGAGTTTGTACTGTTTTATAACATGGATGATCATCAGTTGAATCTTCCTCTGTAATAACGTTTTCTGGTACTTTGTGGTGGCTTAATAGTTCAATAAGGACCCTCCAAACTTTTGGCAATAGTTCAACGATTTCTTCTACACTGTTTATTTGATCCGATGACGATTCTGCAACAAAGTAAAGTTTATATAAATTTGAGTTTTATGTCAAGTTTATGTAAACTAAAGGTTTGTAACTGTTAGTATGTGATGTTTCAAATTTGAGGCTCAATATCTTTGAAACTATTTGAGATAAATGATTCCAATTTGTTTTGTATCATGGGAAAACTCTAATTAATAAATTCTGAAAGTTTCAAATTGCTGGGATGGTTTAAAGTATTTTTCAGGAACCTTCAAAGACCATGTTACAGGAATTTTATGATTTTCTCAGGTATCAATGAGTAAAAGAATTCGCAACTTTAATTGTGAGTTTCATATCAACTTCCAATTTGTTTTATATCATAAGAAAACTCTAGTTAATAAATCCTGAAAGTTTCAAATTGCTGGGATGGTTCAAAGCATTTTTCAGGAACCTTCAAAGACGATTTTACAGGAATTTCATGATTTTCTTAGGTATTCGTGAGTAGAAAAATTCGCAACTTTAGTTGTGAGTTTCATATCAACTTCCAATTTGTTTTTCATCATGGGAAAACTCTAATTAATAAATCCTGAAAGTTTCAAATTGCTGGGATGGCTCAAAGTATTTTTCAGGAATTTTCAAAGACGATTTTATAAGAATATTATGATTTTCTCAGGTATGAACGAGTAAAAAAATTCGTCACTTCAATTGTGAGTTTCATATCAACTCCCAATTTGTTTTTCATCATGAAAAAACTCTAATTGATAAATCCTGAAAGTTTCAAATTGCTGGGATGGCTCAAAGTATTTTTCAGGAACTATCAAAGACAATTTTACAAGAATTTTATGATTTTTTCAGGTATCAATGGATAAAAAAATTCGCCACTTCAATTGTGAGTGTCATATCAACTTCCACTTTATTTTGTAAAATGAGAAAACACTAATTAATAAATCCTGGAAGTGTCAAATTACTGGGATGGCTCAAAGTATTTTTCAGGAATTTTCAAAGACGTTTTTACAGAAATTTTATGATTTTCTCAGGTATGAATGAGTAAAAAAATTCGCAACTGTAGTTGTGAGTTTCATATCAACTTCCAATTTGTTTTGCGTCACGAGAAAACTCTTATTAATAAATTCTGAAAGTTTCAAATTGCTGGGATGGCTGAAAGTATTTTTCAGGAACCTTCAAATACGATTTTATAAGAATATTATGATTTTCTCAGGTATGAACGAGTAAAAAAATTCGTCACTTCAATTGTGAGTTTCATATCAACTCCCAATTTGTTTTTCATCATGAAAAAACTCTAATTAATAAATCCTGAAAGTTTCAAATTGCTGGGATGGCTCAAAGTATTTTTCAGGAACCATCAAAGACAATTTTACAAGAATTTTATGATTTTTTCAGGTACCTATTAATGGATAAAAAAATTCCCCACTTCAATTGTGAGTTTCATATCAACTTCCATTTTGTTTTGTATCATGAGAAAACTCTAATTAATAAATCCTGAAAGTTTCAAATTGCTGGGATGGCTCAAAGTATTTTTCAGGAATTTTCAAAAATGATTTTATAAGAATATGATGATTTTTTCAGGTATCAATGAGTAAAAAAATTCGCAACTTTAATTGTCAGTTTCATATCAACTTCCAATTTGTTTTACATCATAAGAAAACTCTAATTAATAAATCCTGAAAGTTTCAAATTGCTGGGATGGCTCAAAGTATTTTTCAGGAATTTTCAAATACGATTTTATAAGAATATGATGATTTTTTCAGGTATCAATGAGTAAAAAAATTCGCAACGTTAGTTGTGAGTTTCATATCAACTTCCAATTTGTTTTACATCATAAGAAAACTCTAGTTAATAAATCCTGAAAGTTTCAAATTGCTGAGATGGCTCAAAGTATTTTTCAGGAATTTTCAAAGACGATTTTACAGGAATTTCATGATTTTCTCAGGTATTCGTGAGTAGAAAAATTCGCAACTTTAGTTGTGAGTTTCATATCAACTTCCAATTTGTTTTGTATCATGGAAAAATTCTAATTAATAAATCCTGGAAGTTTCAAATTGCTGGGATGGCTCAAAGTATTTTTCAGGAACCATCAAAGACAATTTTACAAGAATTTTATGATTTTTTCAGGTACCTATTAATGGATAAAAAAATTCCCCACTTCAATTGTGAGTTTCATATCAACTTCCATTTTGTTTTGTATCATGAGAAAACTCTAATTAATAAATCCTGAAAGTTTCAAATTGCTGGGATGGCTCAAAGTATTTTTCAGGAATTTTCAAATTAAGAATATGATGATTTTTTCAGGTATCAATGAGTAAAAAAATTCGCAACTTTAGTTGTGAGTTTCATATCAACTTCCAATTTGTTTTACATCATAAGAAAACTCTAGTTAATAAATCCTGAAAGTTTCAAATTGCTGAGATGGCTCAAAGTATTTTTCAGGAATTTTCAAAGACGATTTTATAAGAATATTATGATTTTCTCAGGTATGAATGAGTAAAAAAATTCGCAACTTTAGTTGCGAGTTTCATATCAACTTCCAATTTGTTTTGCGTCACGAGAAAACTCTAATTAATAAATTCTGAAAGTTTCAAATTGCTGGGATGGCTCAAAGTATTTTTCAGGAACCATCAAAGACAATTTTACAAGAATTTTATGATTTTTTCAGGTATCAATGAGTAAAAAAATTCGCAACTTTAATTGTCAGTTTCATATCAACTTCCAATTTGTTTTACATCATAAGAAAACTCTAATTAATAAATCCTGAAAGTTTCAAATTGCTGGGATGGCTCAAAGTATTTTTCAGGAATTTTCAAATACGATTTTATAAGAATATGATGATTTTTTCAGGTATCAATGAGTAAAAAAATTCGCAACTTTAGTTGTGAGTTTCATATCAACTTCCAATTTGTTTTACATCATAAGAAAACTCTAGTTAATAAATCCTGAAAGTTTCAAATTGCTGAGATGGCTCAAAGTATTTTTCAGGAATTTTCAAAGACGATTTTATAAGAATATGATGATTTTTTCAGGTATGAATGAGTAAAAAAATTCGTAACTTTAATTGTCAGTTTCATATCAACTTCCAATTTGTTTTACATCATAAGAAAACTCTAATTAATAAATCCTGAAAGTTTCAAATTGCTGGGATGGCTCAAAGTATTTTTCAGGAATTTTCAAATACGATTTTATAAGAATATGATGATTTTTTCAGGTATCAATGAGTAAAAAAATTCGCAACTTTAGTTGTGAGTTTCATATCAACTTCCAATTTGTTTTACATCATAAGAAAACTCTAGTTAAGAAATCCTGAAAGTTTCAAATTGCTGAGATGGCTCAAAGTATTTTTCAGGAATTTTCAAAGACGATTTTACAGGAATTTCATGATTTTCTCAGGTATTCGTGAGTAGAAAAATTCGCAACTTTAGTTGTGAGTTTCATATCAACTTCCAATTTGTTTTACATCATAAGAAGACTCTAGTTAATAAATCCTGAAAGTTTCAAATTGCTGAGATGGCTCAAAGTATTTTTCAGGAATTTTCAAAGACGATTTTATAAGAATATTATGATTTTCTCAGGTATGAATGAGTAAAAAAATTCGCAACTTTAGTTGCGAGTTTCATATCAACTTCCAATTTGTTTTACATCATAAGAAAACTCTAGTTAATAAATCCTGAAAGTTTCAAATCGCTGGGATGGTTCAAAGCATTTTTCAGGAACCTTCAAAGACGATTTTACAGGAATTTCATGATTTTCTCAGGTATTCGTGAGTAGAAAAATTCGCAACTTTAGTTGTGAGTTTCATATCAACTTCCAATTTGTTTTACATCATAAGAAAACTCTAGTTAATAAATCCTGAAAGTTTCAAATTGCTGGGATGGTTCAAAGCATTTTTCAGAACCTTCAAAGACGATTTTACAGGAATTTCATGATTTTCTCAGGTATTCGTGAGTAGAAAAATTCGCAACTTTAGTTGTGAGTTTCATATCAACTTCCAATTTGTTTTACATCATAAGAAAACTCTAGTTAATAAATCCTGAAAGTTTCAAATTGCTGAGATGGCTCAAAGTATTTTTCAGGAATTTTCAAAGACGATTTTATAAGAATATTATGATTTTCTCAGGTATGAACGAGTAAAAAAATTCGTCATTTCAATTGTGAGTTTCATATCAACTTCCACTTTATTTTGTGAAATGAGAAAACACTAATTGATGAATCCTGAAAGTTTCAAATTGCTGGGATGGCTCAAAGTATTTTTCAGGAATTTTCAAAGACGATTTTATAAGAATATGATGATTTTTTCAGGTATCAATGAGTAAAAAAATTCGCAACTTTAGTTGTGAGTTTCATATCAACTTCCAATTTGTTTTACATCATAAGAAAACTCTAGTTAATAAATCCTGAAAGTTTCAAATTGCTGGGATGGTTCAAAGCATTTTTCAGAACCTTCAAAGACGATTTTACAGGAATTTCATGATTTTCTCAGGTATTCGTGAGTAGAAAAATTCGCAACTTTAGTTGTGAGTTTCATATCAACTTCCAATTTGTTTTACATCATAAGAAAACTCTAGTTAATAAATCCTGAAAGTTTCAAATTGCTGGGATGGCTCAAAGTATTTTTCAGGAACCATCAAAGACAATTTTATAAGAATATTATGATTTTTTCAAGTATGAACGAGTAAAAAAAATCCCCACTTCAATTGTGAGTTTCATATCAACTTCCACTTTATTTTGTAAAATGAGAAAACACTAATTGATGAATCCTGAAAGTTTCAAATTGCTGGGATGGCTCAAAGTATTTTTCAGGAATTTTCAAAGACGATTTTATAAGAATATGATGATTTTTTCAGGTATCAATGAGTAAAAAAATTCGCAACTTTAGTTGTGAGTTTCATATCAACTTCCAATTTGTTTTACATCATAAGAAAACTCTAGTTAATAAATCCTGAAAGTTTCAAATTGCTGGGATGGTTCAAAGCATTTTTCAGAACCTTCAAAGACGATTTTACAGGAATTTTATGATTTTTTCAGGTATTCGTGAGTAGAAAAATTCGCAACTTTAGTTGTGAGTTTCATATCAACTTCCAATTTGTTTTACATCATAAGAAAACTCTAGTTAATAAATCCTGAAAGTTTCAAATTGCTGAGATGGCTCAAAGTATTTTTCAGGAATTTTCAAAGACGATTTTATAAGAATATGATGATTTTTTCAAGTATGAACGAGTAAAAAAAATCCCCACTTCAATTGTGAGTTTCATATCAACTTCCACTTTATTTTGTAAAATGAGAAAACACTAATTGATGAATCCTGAAAGTTTCAAATTGCTGGGATGGCTCAAAGTATTTTTCAGGAATTTTCAAAGACGATTTTATAAGAATATGATGATTTTTTCAGGTATCAATGAGTAAAAAAATTCGCAACTTTAGTTGTGAGTTTCATATCAACTTCCAATTTGTTTTACATCATAAGAAAACTCTAGTTAATAAATCCTGAAAGTTTCAAATTGCTGGGATGGTTCAAAGCATTTTTCAGAACCTTCAAAGACGATTTTACAGGAATTTCATGATTTTCTCAGGTATTCGTGAGTAGAAAAATTCGCAACTTTAGTTGTGAGTTTCATATCAACTTCCAATTTGTTTTACATCATAAGAAAACTCTAGTTAATAAATCCTGAAAGTTTCAAATTGCTGAGATGGCTCAAAGTATTTTTCAGGAATTTTCAAAGACGATTTTATAAGAATATGATGATTTTTTCAGGTATCAATGAGTAAAAAAATTCGCAACTTTAGTTGTGAGTTTCATATCAACTTCCAATTTGTTTTACATCATAAGAAAACTCTAGTTAATAAATCCTGAAAGTTTCAAATTGCTGGGATGGTTCAAAGCATTTTTCAGAACCTTCAAAGACGATTTTACAGGAATTTCATGATTTCTCTCAGGTATTCGTGAGTAGAAAAATTCGCAACTTTAGTTGTGAGTTTTCATATCAACTTCCAATTTGTTTTACATCATAAGAAAACTCTAGTTAATAAATCCTGAAAGTTTCAAATTGCTGGGATGGCTCAAAGTATTTTTCCAGGACCATCAAAGACAAATTTTATAAGAATATTATGATTTTTTCAAGTATGAACGAGTAAAAAAAATCCCCACTTCAATTGTGAGTTTCATATCAACTTCCACTTTATTTTGTAAAATGAGAAAACACTAATTGATGAATCCTGAAAGTTTCAAATTGCTGGGATGGCTCAAAGTATTTTTCAGGAATTTTCAAAGACGATTTTATAAGAATATGATGATTTTTTCAGGTATCAATGAGTAAAAAAATTCGCAACTTTAGTTGTGAGTTTCATATCAACTTCCAATTTGTTTTACATCATAAGAAAACTCTAGTTAATAAATCCTGAAAGTTTCAAATTGCTGGGATGGTTCAAAGCATTTTTCAGGAACCTTCAAAGACGATTTTACAGGAATTTCATGATTTTCTCAGGTATTCGTGAGTAGAAAAATTCGCAACTTTAGTTGTTAGTTTCATATCAACTTCCAATTTGTTTTACATCATAAGAAAACTCTAGTTAATAAATCCTGAAAGGTTCAAATTGCTGAGATGGCTCAAAGTATTTTTCAGGGATTTTCAAAGACGATTTTATAAGAATATTATGATTTTCTCAGGTATGAACGAGTAAAAAAATTCGTCACTTCAATTGTGAGTTTCATATCAACTCCCAATTTGTTTTTCATCATGAAAAAACTCTAATTGATAAATCCTGAAAGTTTCAAATTGCTGGGATGGCTCAAAGTATTTTTTAGGAACCATCAAAGACAATTTTACAAGAATTTTATGATTTTTTCAGGTATCAATGGATAAAAAAATTCGCCACTTCAATTGTGAGTTTCATATCAACTTCCACTTTATTTTGTAAAATGAGAAAACATTAATTAATAAATCCTGGAAGTGTCAAATTACTGGGATGGCTCAAAGTATTTTTCAGGAATTTTTAAAGACGTTTTTACAGAAATTTTATGATTTTCTCAGGTATGAATGAGTAAAAAAATTCGCAACTTTAGTTGTGAGTTTCATATCAACTTCCAATTTGTTTTGCGTCATGAGAAAACTCTAATTAATAAATCCTGAAAGTTTCAAATTGTTGGGATGGCTTGAAGTATTTTTCAGGAACCATCAAAGACAATTTTACAAGAATTTTATGATTTTTTCAGGTATCAATGAGTAAAAAAATTCGCAACTTTAATTGTCAGTTTCATATCAACTTCCAATTTGTTTTACATCATAAGAAAACTCTAATTAATAAATCCTGAAAGTTTCAAATTGCTGGGATGGCTTAAAGTATTTTTCAGGAATTTTCAAATACGATTTTATAAGAATATTATGATTTTCTCAGGTATCAATGAGTAAAAAAAATTCGCAACTTTAGTTGTGAGTTTCATATCAACTTCCAATTTGTTTTGCGTCACGAGAAAACTCTAATTAATAAATTCTGAAAGTTTCAAATTGCTGGGATGGCTCAAAGTATTTTTCAGGAACCATCAAAGACAATTTTACAAGAATTTTATGATTTTTTTCAGGTATCAATGAGTAAAAAAATTCGCAACTTTAATTGTCAGTTCATATCAACTTCCAATTTGTTTTACATCATAAGAAAACTCTAATTAATAAATCCTGAAAGTTTCAAATTGCTGGGATGGCTTAAAGTATTTTTCAGGAATTTTCAAATACGATTTTATAAGAATATGATGATTTTTTCAGGTATCAATGAGTAAAAAAATTCGCAACTTTAGTTGTGAGTTTCATATCAACTTCCAATTTGTTTTGCATCATGAGAAAACTCTAATTGATGAATCCTGAAAGTTTCAAATTGCTGGGATGGCTCAAAGTATTTTTCAGGAACCATCAAAGACGATTTTACAGAAAAACAAAGTTCCAACTTTGAGGCCTAATATCTTGGAGACTATTTGAGATAAATGATTCAATTTTTTTTTTGTCTAAAAGAGCGTTTAATTTTGATTAAGAATATATAAATATGCATTAGAATTTGTGAAATATTGGTTAAGTTTTGGGCGATTTTGTAAAGCAATATCAAAATTTTTCTCTGTCCATAAGGTGACATTCCTCCGCATTTTGACCATTTACTCAAAAATTACTTTAGCCGCAAATATGAGATTTTGAGGAAATATTTTTGAGGCTTAGAGGCAAGACATACTAAATATTCAAAATAATTGAGCAAAAAAATTACAAAGTTACAAAAACTTATGCTTGACCATCTATCTTACCAGTCTCTTCAATAATAGTCTCCAACCTTTTCCCACCATCCTTAACCTCTCCGCTACTCAATTTCCTCTCTTTTTCATTGTGAACTTGATGAACCAAGTCCAACAAAACCTTGGGCAGAGCAGCCGACGACTCATCGCTGACAATATTCCTCAACAAAGCATGATTATCTTCCAAATGCTTAGTGAGCATGTCCAAGTTGATGTCCTGAGAACTATTAAAACCGAGCAAAATTTCCGAAAATAGTTGATTAATAACAGTGAGTTCGGCTTGGTGTTGTCTCGATTCGGCTTTGGCAAGGCCCAAATTGGACTCTAGAGACTTGATTTTGTCGTAGTTTTGGGAATTTTGTTCTTCAAGTTCTTTAATACGTTCTTCACATTCTCTATAAAAACAATATTTTTAGCTCATAAGAATAAATAATATAGCTCTACTTACTTGTTTTTCGTTGCTTCATTTTCCAATTCCTTTTTAGTTTCTTCTAAAGCCTTTTTTAAATCTTCTTTTTCCTTATGATCAGTTCGTTGTCGTTCTTCGTATAAGGCCCTCAAATTTCTTATACTTTTCAATTGGCGCTCATATTCTAATCTTAAATCTTGCGAAAGTATGTTCATTTCTTTTCCAGACAAAGTTTCTTCAATACTTTCCACTTTTTCTCTCAACTAATAAAAATCAATTAAAAACAAATAAGCAAAATTATTCAATAATTACCTCTTTAAGTTGTGCCTCCCGTATTAACAACATTCTCTTAGAAACAGTTATAACATCCTTCAAGGCAATCACATGTGTTTTATATTCGTCTCTTTCCTGTTCAAAATCTAGAACAACTGAGTTTAAATTTTGCAATTCCTCTTGCATTTCTGCAATGCTCATTTTTAATTCCCTATTTGTTTCTAGTAGAGGGCTCAGTTGCTCGATTGTGTCTTTTAATTCCCCTTTTAAATTTGCGTTTTCTTGAATTACTTCATTGAAATCGTCTGTTAAGGTTCCTTTAGATGCTGCTTTTAAAATTGTGTTTTCATCTTTGAGTCTTTTAACTTCTTCTCGTAAATCGTCAAACTGTTTCTTTTTGGCATCTAAAATTTCTCGTCGTTTTTCGTACAATTCGAACTTGAATTCATCGTTCGATTTGTTTGGACTTGTTTCGACATTTTCTTCACTGCTGCTCCAATTTCCCATATTTTTATCTGAAAACGTGTATTTGAAGCTTGAAAACTTTTTTTGAACTGAGACGTTTGTGGATATTTTTAGAGGAAATGAAATGCCTGGCCAAATTTTAATACGCGGAATTATTAGCCAAAAATGACAAAGAACTTATAAATAAAAGGGTTAATGGTATCGTGACTTGGATGTTTAGTTATTTTGAGAAAGGAATTTTTGGGAGTTATTTATATACTTACTTAAATATTAGTCCAAACTCGCTTAAATAAATGTTAAACGGATCGTTATCGAACACTATATACTAACTGAGGAAATTTTGTCCAGGATCGGAAAAGTTGAGCTTTATTTTTAGATTTGAATTTTCCAAAACTTGAAAAGTAGGAGAGTTTATTTATTATTGGTGAAATTCGAGCAAGGAAAATGCACTGAGGTGCTCAATTTTTATTGATTTTAATTGATTTTTTTTTTTAAAATTTGTTCACATGTTTGATTATGAAAAGAAGTTGCCAGAAAAATTTAAAAATAAGTTTCAGCGTTCCGTGACGAGGCGTCTGTGAAACTATTTATAACTATAGGGCGTCTCTGGCCAGAGGCGTAGAAATTCTTATCAATTAAACATTGAATTTTCTTTTTAAATCTTCATTTTAGAGTCTTTTTATCCAATTTATAGTAAGCAAATCCTTGTTCTCTATGAACTGCCTTAGATAGGAAACATAAGTCTCTATTATTCCATCTGTGGATTTTAATTTGCTCAGGTTCCTGGTTGCTAGTGAAATTTCTAAAAAGGGTATTCCGTTGAAGTGGTATTCTTGACGTTTTGGTTTCGGCTTGTGTTTCCGATACCCGAAATATCCCAAGTGTGCTAAGAATGTAATGGTGATAAGTGTAACAGTGCTGAATACTGCTAGGTGGTGTATGGAAGCCCAATGGGTTTCTTGTAGTTACTGTTGAATAATATCTGACTCTTTTTCTTTGATTTGTAGCAAAACGCTCCAAGTTCTCTATTTAATTAGTTAGATGGTAAATGACGAGCGGTATTTTGATGGTGTTTATTTCCTTGGAGCTGCTACCTATAAAATTGTGGAGGATCTATTCGCAAAAGAGAGAAACAAACTATTGAGGTTTACTAAATTATATTTTATTATACATAAAACCAAAACTTAAAATAAGCAAATATCTTTCAATTCTGACAGCCACTTCTATTTTTCCCAATTCAAATTATTTCTCATCCGTTCATATGTCGTTATTACGGACCAGGAAATATCCATAAAAGAAAAACGCCCTACTTCTCAATAACTTATACGTTATACATTGCAACACTTCCGATTCATTCCTATTAAACTACCTTTCACCTATATCTATAAATTCTTAAAAATTCCTAAGTCCTTTACTGACTGCTTATGCAAAATCAAAATAATTATTTGTTTATTAATATAGGTATTATACTAACTTATACAATAATTTCTACATGAAAAATAAAACCCTAATTCAAAATTTTCGGCACATAAGGTCAACAATTTCATGATTTTCATGAATAACAAGTTTCTTTTCAAAATTTCCCATTCCATTTTAATGGTATTTAATCAGAACAATTACTATTTTCGGATTCCTAGCCAACAAACACAAGTAGGTATTTAAATTTTTACTAATTAGTTACTATAGTCCTTAAGCATCAAAATCTAATTCAAAATTCTTTAATAATTCCTACTCAAAATCGTATATTGTTAAGAGCAGTGGCGGCTCGTCAGAGGAGGCAGGGAAAGCTAAGCCTCCCCCAAAAAATTGAAAATTCAATCTCAGTTTTTTATTCCTGATTCCTAATTGAAATAATAATTTACAAATTTAATTTAGAAAAATCCCACAACATTATTTCAATCAATTTCGCGCCTCCACGACAAAAATCTGTGAATCTGAGATAGTCAGTAATACGAGCCCGAAGGGCCGAAGTTATACGCGAGCCCGAAGGGCCAGAGTTATACGCGAGCCCGAAGGTCCGGAGTTATAGGTGAGCCCGAAGGGCCAAAGTTATTTTAATCATGAGGCTCAATTTATAATTCTATTGGTCAGCGGATAATTTGAAGCCAATTAAAAACCGGAAGTATTTAAAATGCGATTTTTAGCGTCCAATCAAAGAGCCGGGAATATTCAAAAACTTCAGTTTTATCAAATTGACTTTGGAATGCTGGTTTTCTATGAGGTTTTCTTAAGATTTTTTCTTTTTTCAGAAAATGGTGGATTTTGCAAACATATACTACTTTATCGTTGTCTTTGTCGTACTCACTATAATCAAAAAGTAAACCTTATAATGTCATTTTCATTGAAATTAAACTAAAAACAAGTTTCTTATGATTTATTTGGGGAATTTTAATTATTATAATCATTATTAATTAATTATTAAATTGAATTTCAAACAAAAAATCCTTTTAAAATGTTATTTTTGTTTTCCGAGATGAGATGTGGCAACGTTGCTTTTATTTGGCCATTTTGAAGTGATGTCTTGTGATTTTTTTGCCAGTTTTTTCTCGAATTTTCGACTTTTCCGGGGTTTTTTAATGGAAAAAAGCGATTTAATTTACGAGGTTTTGAGTTTTCTTCATTTTTTAGTAAAAATTTCTAGTTTTATTAAATGCCATAATTAGCAAAATCCCATTTAAAATGCTTTTGATGTGGCAACATCGCTTGTGGCTAACTTCAATCAAGGAAGAATTTTTGATAGTCGGCCATTTTAAATTAACGTGTTTACATTTTTATTCAGTTTTTCTTCGAATTTTTCACTTTTCCGGGGCTTTTTCAGTCGGAAAAACTGATTTAAAGTACGAGGCTTTGAGTTTTCTTCAATTTTTACCAAAAATTTCCAGTTTTTCAACGGGGTAAGTGAGAAAAACTTTTGTTTTATCAAGTAGGTTTTGGAATGTCATTTTCGTTGTTTTTTTTTTAGGGTTTTTGGGGTCCGGGGATCGTTTTCCACCACTTTTTTTCTAGAAATTCTCAAAATTAAAAAAAAAGTTTTTTGACGTTGACAGCTGTCATTTTTTTCTGACACAAATCGATAGTTGCCGAGGTTTGATTTTCGTAGCTTTTATAGTAGAGCGGGGAAAAAGTCGAACATGTGTCAAATTTGACAAGTGACATCTGTCGATATCGCCAGTGTCGTGCGACAAAAGTTTTATCCGAACAAACCTGTTCATTGTCAACTGATTTTAATACTCCGGCCCTTCGGGCCATAATCTTTGAAACAAAAAGACGTCATTTTGTATCGATTGTCAAAAAAACCTAAGGTTTGAAATTTCAATTTTTTGACGTTGGTTGTATCATGAGCAGTGTTGCCATATATTTTTTTTCAAATCACGAGCTCGAAGGGCCGAGATTATAGATTATTTTTAAGCCAATCAAAAGTCGGGAATATTCAAAATTTAAAGCTAATCAAGAGCCGGGAATAATCAAAATTCGAATTCCCAAACCAATCAAAATTTTCATATAAGTGTTGCTACATGTTGCTACATAAATCTCACCCTAAAACCCACTAAAAAACGACTTGTTTTCTAACCTTTGTTTTTTGGAAAAAACAAAAGATTTTTTTTTTTGAGATTGACAGCTGTCAAAATTTAAAAAAACCCACATGGGAATATAGATTTAGCCTCGGCGAATACGTAGGAAGTACCAATTTTTTTTTAACATATGTCAAAAAAGACGTTCGGCGTTGCCAGGCCGTTGGTTTTTGACATATATCGATGAAACTTTTTATTTCAGAGTTTTCGGAGCCTGGGGATCGTTTTCTGACATTTGTTTTTTGAAAAAAAGGAAAGGTAAAAATTTTTGAGATTGATAGTTGTCAAAATTAACAAAAACGCACATGGACATATAGATGCCTCGGCGAATACGTAGGAAGTAGCCAAACAGGGGACCGGACAATTTTTTGACGTTTGTTGTATTATAAGCAGTGTTGCCATATGTTTTTTTATTTTCAAATCTCGATTCTGGAAGGCTGAGGTTATCTCAATTATGATCTCAAAGGGCCGAAGTTATACGAGTCCGAAGGGCCGGAGTCATGCAAACCCGAAGGGCCGGAGATATACGAGCCCGACAGGCCGGAGTTATTTTAATCATGAGCCCGAAGGTCTGAGGTTATACGAGCTCGAAGGGACGGAGTTATAGGAACCCGTTCATTGTCAACTGATTCTAATACTTCGGCCCTTCGGACTGTAATCTTTGAAACAAAAAGACGCCATTTTATATCGACTATCAAAAAAAACAAGGCCTACTTTGACGTTTGTTGTATCATGAGCAACGTTGCCATATGTTTTCATCAAATCTCGATTTATAGGTTATTTTAAACCCAATCAAAAGCCGGGAATATTCAAAATTTAAAGTCAATCAAGAGCCGGGAATAATCAAAATTTGAATCCCCAAACCAAAAAAAACAAAGGGACAAAGTTATATGCGAGCTCGAAGGGCCAGAGTTATATGCGAGCCCGAAGGGCCGGAATTATTTTAATCACGAGGCCCAGTCTATAATCCTATTGGTCAGCGGATAATTTGAAGTAAATCTAAAATCGGGAATAGAATATTCAAAATGTGATTTTTAGTCGATATTCCGAGTCTCAGTTCTCTCTGATGTACCGAATTATTGAGGGCATGAATGAGCAACCCAAAACACATTTTGCCTGCTGCACAGTGGTCACCTTACCGTAATTCATTATTTTCTAGCCTCTTCACTTGAAATAGTCACGAGCCGCCACTGGTTAAGAGCATTTTAAATTCTCTTCATATTTTCTTTGCAAAATTAAATTAAATGTTATTATACTCGAGGGCAATCAAAGTTATGCCATAAAGTTTTTAAAGTCAAATCACTCAAGTTTTTATGCATTTAAAGTCAATGTCAATTCACTTCTTATCATTCCGAATCATTGTTAAAAGTCAGAAAACAATAATAATCACTAAAGTACTCACATTTAATTAGTCAAAATTTCTAGAGCTCGCACATAATATTGGACGCCTTTAAATGTTCTTTCTTTCACAATATTCCGTACTTTTTCTAAGTTAAATTAAACCCGAGGCTAGGTACGTCATAAAAGAAACTTTTCGCGAATTTTAACCGGACTGACACATTAGGTACTGTAGACTTTAACTCAAACTGGACTGCGAACTGATCTGACAACTGACTTCCACTTCTAAAACCGCCTGTTTTATATTTTTCGATTCCCCCTCAAAGTATCATTAATTTAATTATCCACCAAAATCGTCAATAAGCGGTCGCTTGACCATCAATAAGTCAATTCCATTGGCCTACCTAGATTTTATCGAAAAATAATGATGCAATCTATTTGAAATTTTTGTCATTTTTATTTGTTTAAAATCGAATAATTATGTCGCAATATCCTGATTTATAGGGGTCAACACTTCTTCGGTTCAAGAATGTGAGGACAACACAAAGAAGACCGGCACACGTGAGGCATTAATCATCGATTTAATTACTCTGGCCTCGCTTTCAATAAGTTCATTGATTTTAGGAGATGACATCACGCTTGGTGACTAAATAATAGAATTTTTAACGTATATAAATATTTTAATTTGATTTGGGGTCAACGCTAATTTGTTTCATTTTCAATTTATCGATACTGATTTGAAATACCGGAAATTCAGTTTTTGATTATTTGATTATATTTAATTTTTACAGTAGGTAAAGACATTGTAATTATCGGGTCTATTTTCCGGATCATTACAGATTTTATCTAGAGATTCTAAGGCTTCTAAAAGAACATATAAAAATTCCTATTTTCAAGTATCCTAAAGCAGAAATTGAAAAATCAAAGTCTAATTTCTGTGAATTTTTTTCTTAATTTATATGGAAATAAATACCCATCAAAATAAAAAATCTACGTCTATGTTTTATATTTCTCAAAACCCACAAAGCTAATTAAACACTTTAGTAAAATATATGATTTTAGTTTCTCGCATACGTAATAAGTGGCTTACTTTATATATTATACTCCAATCAAACTAATAATCAAATAGTATTTTTGCATTATAAAACAATAGCTATTTTTAACCCAGAGAAAAATGTAAACGATTGCCTCCAAAATATTATGTGCGTGTGGAAAACATAGCCAGAGAAAAATGAGGTAAAAGATTAATAGATTTAAATAACAATATTATTAATGCTTTTGCCAAAACATTCAGGTTCATAATAGGAAGCCTATTCTTGCTTTGCATCATAATTTCCATGACAAACGCTGGAAATAGTAAAAATACAGCTAAACTAGAAGATTCCAACAACATCAGCGATGAAAAACCTAAAAAATTCATAGGAAGAATCGAACGTGGGAAAGTTTTAGTTTTAAAAAACAACAAGGCAATCAATAGCGATGATGAAAGTGAAGAAAAAGTGTGCCAAAAATATGATAAAAATAATTGCAATGATAATTCTTCAAGTGAAGAGCAAAAACATAAACAAAAAATCAAATACAGTATTAAATTTAAACATGAAAAGCAACAAAAACATAAAAATAATAACGAAGAAATGAGGATAATTAAACTGCACAAGAATGAATTAAAACAATATGGGTAATAATAAATAATAAATAATAATAAAGTGAGGAATTAATTTAAAATACATTTTTTTCTAGGAAAGAAGATCTTGATGAAGATAGTGATGAAGATGAGCGTCCCTTTATTAAAAAACGGTTGCGTTTTGATGAAGACGATTAAGTATTTGTAATAAAATATGATTTAATTAGACTTTTACTTGAAGATTTCCTCAATTGCTTTAAGTTTTAAAGCAAATTTTGTAGTTTTTGAAAAGGTTATTCAAATTTTGCCGCCATTGCAATTCACATACGAAAACATAGATGGCCCTAGTTAAATCCCTATTAAGGCAACAAGAGTTAAAATCTATAAATTGGATCCTCACAAAACTCAAAAAAAAGAAATCTAGAAGATTCCTCAATTGTTTTTCAGCTTTTGAGCATATTTTGCCTCAAAATTATAGCCTCATTTCGTAGTTTTTGAGAGGCTTTTCAAATTTCTTAATATTAAAACATAGATGGCGCTAGCTGAGCCTTTATTGAAACAACAAGACTAATTACAGAAATCTGTAATTGGGCAACCATGTGTAGTGTCACAACAATAAGCATAACCCCATTTTTCAAAATGTTTTTAATCCTCTAATGTAAAAGCAACATTTTTAACAATAATTCCTATTTAATTGCAACAAATAACAACAAAAACCCAATTAAACAATGTCCAGGTTGATTGTGAAAAACTTGCCAAAAACCGTAAGTTGTTTTATCTGCCTTAGGGCCAAATTATGGACTGCCTGGTAAACGTCTGGTTGTTACCTAGCAGTTACTTTCTATGCACTAGAAAAGAGAAAGTACCTGCTAGGTAACAACCAGACACTTACCAGTTGGTTCATTTGGCTCTTAAAAACCCCTATTTTCAAATTGTAATTATCGTAGACCACAGAAGATAAATTAAGAGAATTATTCAATCAAAATGGCACGATAACAGACATCCAGCTTAAATACACAAAAGAAGGTGCCTTTAGGAGATTCGGGTTCATAGGGTTCCAGAACCAGGACGAGGCTGATAGAGCTATCGAGGCCCTAAATAATACTTTTGTTAATACGAGTAAAATTAGTGTTGAAAAGTGCGCCCTTTTAGGTAAGTAAGGGATTTTGTGTTCGATTGGTTTATTTATTTAAGAAAATAATTGTAGGAGACGCAAATAAACCTAAAGCTTGGAGCAAGTATGCTACTGATAGTTCAGCCTTTAAAAAAGCAAATAAGAAAAATGTTAAAATTGAGACAAAGAAGGAGAAAAAGAATGACGAGGAATTGGAAATTCTAGAGAAGGTAAGAGCACTTATTAGGTACCTAAGGGTTGGCAAAAAATCACTTCTACCTTCTAATGATCACAGTGACTTGAAATTTTCAGGATTTGTAAATTGTAGTTTCCTCTTTGTAGAAAATTTAGTTTGAAGTTGATTTGAAGCTCCAAACTAAAGTTTGCAAAAATCACTTGTGCAAAATACTTCCAATGATCACAGTGACTTGAAACATTTAAGATTTATAAATTGAAGTCTCTTCTTTGTGAAAAAGTTAATTTGAAGTTGATTTGAAGCTCCAAACTAAATTTGGAAGCTTTTCTCATGTTAATGCATGCAAAAATAATTTAAATTAAATATTTCCAATGATCACAGTGACTTGAAACTTTCAGGATTTATGGATTAGAGTTTCCTCTTTGTGAGAAAGTTGATTTGAAATTCCAAACTAAATTTGGAAACTTTTTCTCAGGGGGTCAACCACCTATCACTTGACCTATCATAATTTGTACACCAATTCCTTTTTTTTTTGGTAATACTTATAAATATTACTGGTATTACTAGGTATTACAATTTATCACTATTACCATTATTAACAATTGTATTTACTGATGGCAAATTCTCGAGAATTTATTTTGAGAGAATTTTCTCGGAGAGTATTCGGGAACATTAGAGAATTTTGGAAAATTTCAAAAAATATAACTCCTTAACATCATGTGGGGCTTTTAAACATTTGAAGATATGTTTTGTTTGTTCAGTTGCATTTTTTTGGTACACAAAATCTCAAAATTTACATTCAAATTTGTTGTCCTTATTTTGTCTGAAATATTTCCATATCAAGGTTTCATTTTCGAAGGAATTTCCTCAAAACTAATATTAAATAAGTTAAATATTTTTTCGCATACACTCTACCCAGAGCGGGGTTAATGAAATCACTTATAACGTTTGCGGTTGTGTTGCAAAGAAAATTTTGAGGAAAATGTGTTTCTATATCTGTTTTTTTAACATGCTGAGAGAAACAGGTGGAAATACACTCAGTACTCAATGGCACCAGTGCCGTTAAATCTAATCTACCAATAAAAAACGCCTATGGAATCGGGGGATTTATCGGATTTACCCGGACTCACTGGCTGAGTTCAATAATTGCATCTGCGAGCAAAATGAGCAAAATTTGACAGATGAAATGTAAAAAAAATGTGATCACGTGACGTCCGTTAAAATTTGCACTTTTTGCCCGCAGATGCAATTACCGAACCTACCATCAGTTTTTCTTTTTTCTGAGCTTTTTTCATTTCCACCTAACTTCACTACAAACCTAGATGAATTTAAAAATTACAACTAACTTCCCACAAATTCTCAAAAACTACCATATATTCTCATAAATTCTTGATCCTAAAAAAATCATAAATTCTCGAGAATTTAAGGCGAAAGAATATTCTCGGTAAATTCTCTGTTCTCAATAGAAGTTCTTTGGAGAATATTCTCAGGGCCATCTCTAATTGTATTACTAGGATTTTTTTTTTGTATTACTTATCATTTTCTCAATATTACCAGAATTTTTCAGGTATTACCACTACCTAAATATTTCAAAAGTTGTAGGTATGTAACAAGCACATAAAAAATAAATTTCCTCTTTTTTTTTAGGCCATACAAAATCATCTAGATGTGTTTTTGAAAACTTCATTTCAAACAAGGTTTTTTTCTCCAAATTCCTGAATCAGGCCTATGTATGATGTATCCTCTCTTGTTATTTTAACAGCTATGTTATAGCTCAACATCTATACTTCTCTCTGTTTTGACGTATGGAATAAACAGTGACAGACAACTTAACGCTGCTGTTAAAATAATAGAAAATGATACATCATTAGCCTGTTATTTGTTCTATAGACCAACTGTTATCAAAATAAACCGAATAATAAAATTCTGTTGGTCTTTTTTAAAGTTTTTTTCTCCACTTTCTAACAAATTATCTCCATCTGCATCTGCACTTGTAGATGAATTTTTTTTTTTTCTTTTTTATTAATTTTAATTTTTTCTCAGGTGGTCTTTTTTGTATTTTTTAAATTTTTCGTGTGTTTCTTTTCAGCTTTCTTGGTATACTTTTCAAATAACATAATCGAGAACATATTGTTAACTTTTTTACCAATTTTGTCTTATTGTTTTTAAGGCAATTTTCAAATATCACTTGTTAGTCTCGTCAGTTTTGGATGAATGGTCTTTTAAGTCCAATATAAAAAGGTATGATATTTCCAAAGAATTAGTTATACTTTCTGGAAGTATATTTTCAGTTCCTGCCTCAGGTTTTGTTGTCTTTATTTATTGTGTCTAGAATAGAGGCTCTAGGTTTTCCAAGTTGGTACCATTGACGATTTAAAATGTATAAAAATGCCTTTACTATAAATGTGGGAAATTTAGAGGAATTTATGAGAATTTATTGGGAATTCAGAGAAATTTATGAGGAATTTGAAGGAAATTGTAGAGTCATGACGTCAGTGAGGTTCACATTCTTATTATAAGAAACACTAATAAATGGAAATTTGAAAAAAAAATGTGTGTGTGTTGAACGTTAGACATTCATTTCTATTAAAGAAATTCTCCCAAAATTACACTTCATACAATAATGTTTTTGTAGGCTGATTTCCAAGATTCTTCATATTGTTATTTTCCACTGGAAAAATTTGAAATTTTTTGGGAAAATGAGCTTCTAACCTTCCGCTTCACATATAAAAAGTTTCAAATTTTTCTGCTCATTAGTTTCTCAGGAAAACTTTGAATTGTGTGAAACTGTATTTTCAATTAATTCAGTTATTCGAGATTGATTTCCAAGATTCTTCATGTTGTTATTTTCTACTGGAAAAATTTGAAATTTTGGGAAAATAAACGTTTAACCTTTCCACTCTTCAAATGCACAAAGTTTCAAATTTTTCCTTTCACTAGTTTTCCAGGAAAACTTTGAAATGTGTGAGACTGAATTATTTCAGTTTTTGTAAGTTGATTTCCAAGATTGTTTATGTTGTTATTTTCCACTGAAAAAATTTAAAATTTTGAGAAAATGAGCTTCTCCCCTTCCTCTTTACATGCAAAAAGTTTCAAAATTTTCCCCTTATTAGTTTTCCAGGAAAACTTTGAATTGTGTGAGACTGTTTTAACAATTATTTTAGTTTTTGTAAGTTAATTTCCAAGATAGTTCATGTTGTTATTTTCCACTGGAAAAATTTGAAATTTTGGGAAAATGAGCTTCTCTCCTTTCTCTTTACATGCAAAAAGTTTTAAAATTTTCCCTTCACTAGTTTTCCAGGAAATCTTTGAAATGTGTGAGACTGTATTTTCAATTAATTCAGTTATTGTAGGTTGATTTCCAAGATTCCTTATGTTGTTATTTTCTACTGAAAAAATTTGAAATTTTCGGAAAATGAGCCTCTAACCTTCCTCTTTACATGCAAAAAGTTTCAAAATTTTCCCTTAGTTAGTTTTTCAGGAAAACTGTGAATTGTGTGAAACTGTTTTGACAATTATTTCAGTTTTTGTAAGTTAATTTCCAAGATACTTCATGTTGTTATTTTCCACTGGAAAAATTTGAAATTTTGGGAAAATGAGCTTCTTCCCTTTCTCTTTACATACAAAAAGTTTTAAGATTTCCCCTTCACTAGTTTTCCAGGAAACTTTTGAAATGTGTGAGACTGTATTTTCAATTAATTCAGTTATCGTAGGTTGATTTCCAAGATTCCTTGTGTTGTTATTTTCTACTGGAAAAATTTGAAATTTTCGGAAAATGAGCCTCTAACCTTCCTCTTTACATGCAAAAAGTTTCAAAATTTTCCCTTAGTTAGTTTTTCAGGAAAACTGTGAATTGTGTGAAACTGTTTTGACAATTATTTCAGTTTTTGTAAGTTAATTTCCAAGATACTTCATGATGTTATTTTGCACTGGAAAAATTTGAAATTTTGAGAAAATGAGCTTCTCCCCTTCCTCTTTACATACAAAAAGTTTTAAAATTTTCCCTTCACTAGTTTTCCAGGAAATCTTTGAAATGTGTGAGACTGTATTTTCAATTAATTCAGTTATCGTAGGTTGATTTCCAAGATTCCTTGTGTTGTTATTTTCTACTGGAAAAATTTGAAATTTTCGGAAAATGAGCCTCTAACCTTCCTCTTTACATGCAAAAAGTTTCAAAATTTTCCCTTAGTTAGTTTTTCAGGAAACCTGTGAATTGTGTGAAACTGTTTTGACAATTATTTCAGTTTTTGTAAGTTAATTTCCAAGATAGTTCATGTTGTTATTTTCCACTGGAAAAATTTGAAATTTTGGGAAAATGAGCCTCCAACCTTCCTCTTTACATGCAAAAAGTTTCAAAATTTTCCCTTAATTAGTTTTCCAGGAAAACTTTGAATTGTGTGAGACTGTTTTAACAATTATTTCTGTTTTTGTAAATTGATTTCTAAGATTCTTCATGTTGTTATTTTCCAAAGGAAAAATTTGAAATTTTGAGAAAATGAGCCTCTAACCTTCCTCTTTACATGCAAAAAGTTTCAAAATTTTCCCTTCACTAGTTTTCCAGGAAAACTTTGAATTGTGTGAGACTGTTTTAACAATTATTTCAGTTTTTGTAAGTTAATTTCCAAGATAGTTCATGTTGTTATTTTCCACTGGAAAAATTTGAAATTCTGGGAAAATGAGCTTCTCCCCTTTTTCTTTACATGTAAAAAGTTTTTCCCTTCACTAGTTTTCTAGGAAAACTTTGGATTGTGTGACAGTATATTTTATTAACTCAGTTATTGTAGGTTGATTCCTGAGATTCTTCATGTTCTTATTTTCCACTGGAAAAATTTTAAATTTTGAGAAAATGAGCTTCTCTCCTTCCTCTTTACATGCAAAAAGTTTCAAAATTTTCCCTTCACTAGTTTTTCAGGAAAACTTTGAATTATGTGAGATTGTTTTAACAATTATTTCAGTTCAGTCATTAATTCATTAATGAGTCGTTCTGATGTAAAAATTAGGAGTTTCTGAACTACAGAATTTGGAATTCCACATGCTTGTACATTATAATTCCTCGTTACAAAACTATTAATTAAGATTTTAATTTAGTTTCAACACTTTTGCACCTAAATACATCAAATATAGATAACTTGCCATAAATTACATAATACAATATTTCAGTATAAAAATGACCCAATGTTTGAAGAATTCTTGCAAGTGCACGGCAAAGCCGACAAATTAGCCGAACTAAAAGAAAAACTGGCAAAATCCAAACCGGAAGATGAAGATTCTGGCACCCACTCTGACAAAGAAACTCCTATTATTGAAAAATCAGAAAAACCAGTTTCTGATTTGGAATACATGAAATTACTAATGAAAGGTGTATCAAACACTGAAGCAAATTTAGAAAGAAAACCTCGCCAAAAAATGGAAAAGAAACCAAAAGAAAAAGTGGAACTTTTTAATTTAAAGGCAAGAATTTTTCATTATTTTTGTGTTGTTACTCAACTTATTAATTATTTTTAGCTTAAAGATTTGCCTTATACAATTAAAAAAAAGGACATTAAGGAATTTCTTAGACCTAATTTGCCTTTCAGCATTAGAATTCCTAGAAACATACACGGAATTGCTTTTGTTGGTTACAAAACGGAAAAAGCTTTCAAAAAAGCTTTGGCTAAAGACAAAAGTTTTCTTAAAGGTAAACAAATTCAAGTAACCCACTACGAAATAAAACACTCAAACACCCAACAAACCAATCCAAAAGAAGCCAAATGGAAAAACCAAGAAGAGTCCCTCAAAAACGAAGAAAACATTGCAGAATCTGGCAGGATATTCCTGAGAAACTTGGCCTACACGACAACCGAAAAAGACATTGAAGATTTATTCACAAAATATGGCCCTTTGACCGAAATCAACCTACCAATAGACTCAACAACCAGAAAACCTAAAGGCTTTGGAGTAATAACATTTATGATGCCTGAACATGCAGTCAAAGCCTATACTGAACTAGATGGTTCAATTTTACATGGTAGAATGATGCATTTGCTACCAGGCAAAGCCAAAGACAATCCAGAAGAAAACTTAGAAGAATCTACAAATTTTAAACAAAAAAAAGCTTCTCAATTAAAATCGCAAGCTGGTTCTTCACACAATTGGAACACTTTATTCCTTGGACATGATGCAGTTGCTGAAGTTATTGCCGATAATTATGACATTGCAAAAGAAGTCGTACTAGGACCTGATGGAAAAGGTAGCGCCGCTGTACGTTTGGCTATTGGAGAAACTCAAATTGTTACCCAAACGAGGAAGTATTTAGAGGAACAAGGAGTTGTTGTGGATTGTTTCAACACAGTAAATTAGTTGGTTGGAGTTATTTTATTTGATTTAAATTGTTGTTGGTTTTAGGTGGCTAAATCGAGATCCAAAACGGTTATTTTAGTTAAAAATTTACCTTCCAGGACCGAAGCTAGGGAGCTTAAGGAAATATTTGCCAAGCATGGGGAATTGGGCAGGATTATTTTGCCTCCTAGTGGGATAACTGGTAAGTGATTTTGAAACTCGACAATGCTTTTCGGCGTGAAGTGTCCCAATTGTACCTCTAAAGCTTCAAAAAAGGTTATTTGAGGCACCGAGTTCTGGGGCTTCATTTTTGAGATAATCTGTTTTCCAAAATTTGCGGCAAAGTTTCAACTTTGAAGCTCGATATTTTGGAAACTATTTGAAATAAATGATTCAATTTTGTTTTATCTTGAAGAGTTTTTAATTCTGATTAAGAATATATAAATATGAGGATTTGTAGAATATTGATTGAAGAATCAGCGATTTTGTGAGGCAATGTTGGATAATGAAAATTTTTCAGGGCAAAAATGTACCCTTTCACATTTTACTGATTTTTCGAAAAACTGTGGATGGGGGAATTTTGAAACTTTTTTAGGGAAAATAGGAAGGGTAGGTGCTCATTGAACTGAAATTTCAAATTGATTCAACGAAAAATCACTGTTTGAGAAAATCTTGAAAATCCACTTGAAAAATGACAAATTGAGGAAAATACATCGTTTCACTTTTTGATTATTTTTGGGAAACCCGTTGATGAGAAAATTTTGAAACTTTTTGAGGAAAAAGAGGAAGAGAAGAAACTCATTATATTGAAATTTAAAATTGATTCAGCGAAAAATCACAGTTAGAGAAAATCTTGAGAATTAACTTGGAAAATAACAAATTGAGGAAGATACACCTTTTCACATTTTGATAATTCTTTGAAAAACTATTGATGGGACAATTTTGAAACTTTTTGAGAGAAAAGAGGAAAGAAAGGAGCTCATTATACTGAAATTTCAAATTGATTCAGCGAAAAATCACAGTTTGAGAAAATCTTGAAAATTAACTTGAAAAATAACAAATTAAGACAATTACACCCTCTTACATTTTGATGATTTTTTGAAAAACTGTTGATGGGAAAATTCTGAAATTTTTTGAGAGAAAAGAGGAAGGAGAGGAGCTCATTATTCTGAAATTTTGGATTGATTCAGTGAAAAATCACAGTTTGAGAAAATCTTGAAAATCAACTTGAAAAATAACAAATTCAGGCAAATACACCTTTTCACATATTAATGATTTTTCCAAAAACTGTTGATGGGAAAATTTTGAAACTTTTTGAGGAAAAAGAGGAAGAAAAGGAGCTCGTTATACTGAAATTTCAAATTGATTCAGTGAAAAATCACAGTTTAAGAAAATCTTGAAAATTAACTTAAGAAATAACAAATTGAGGAAGATACACCCTTTCACATTTTGATGATTTTTCGAAAAAGATGGGAAGATTTTGAAACTTTTTAAGGGAAAAGAGGAAGGAAAGGAGTTCATTATACTGAAATTTCAAATTAATTCAGCGAAAAATCACAATTTGAAAAAATCTTGAAAAGTAACAAATTAAGGAAAATGCACCCTTGCACATTTTGATTATTTTTTGAAAAACTGCTGATGGGAAAATTTTGAAACTTTTTGAGGGAAAAGAGGAGTAAAAGGAGCTCATTATGGGTACTGAAATTTCAAATTGATTCAGTGAAAAATCACAGTTAGAGAAAATCTTGAGAATTAACTTGGAAAATAACAAATTGAGGAAGATACACCTTTTCACATTTTGATAATTCTTTGAAAAACTATTGATGGGACAATTTTGAAACTTTTTGAGAGAAAAGAGGAAAGAAAGGAGCTCATTATACTGAAATTTCAAATTGATTCAGCGAAAAATCACAGTTTGAGAAAATCTTGAAAATTAACTTGAAAAATAACAAATTAAGACAATTACACCCTCTTACATTTTGATGATTTTTTGAAAAACTGTTGATGGGAAAATTCTGAAATTTTTTGAGAGAAAAGAGGAAGGAGAGGAGCTCATTATTCTGAAATTTTGGATTGATTCAGTGAAAAATCACAGTTTGAGAAAATCTTGAAAATCAACTTGAAAAATAACAAATTCAGGCAAATACACCTTTTCACATATTAATGATTTTTCCAAAAACTGTTGATGGGAAAATTTTGAAACTTTTTGAGGAAAAAGAGGAAGAAAAGGAGCTCGTTATACTGAAATTTCAAATTGATTCAGTGAAAAATCACAGTTTAAGAAAATCTTGAAAATTAACTTAAGAAATAACAAATTGAGGAAGATACACCCTTTCACATTTTGATGATTTTTCGAAAAAGATGGGAAGATTTTGAAACTTTTTAAGGGAAAAGAGGAAGGAAAGGAGTTCATTATACTGAAATTTCAAATTAATTCAGCGAAAAATCACAATTTGAAAAAATCTTGAAAAGTAACAAATTAAGGAAAATGCACCCTTGCACATTTTGATTATTTTTTGAAAAACTGCTGATGGGAAAATTTTGAAACTTTTTGAGGGAAAAGAGGAGTAAAAGGAGCTCATTATGGGTACTGAAATTTCAAATTGATTCAGTGAAAAATCACAGTTTGAGAAAATCTTGAAAATCAACTTAAAAAATGGCAAATTAAGGTAAATACAACCTTTCACATTTTGATGATTTTTCGGAAAACTGTCGTTGGGAACATTTTGAAACTTTTTGAGGAAAAAGAGAAAGGAAAGAAGCTCATTATACTCAAATTTAAGATTTATTCAGTGAAGTTGATGTAAAAGTCTCAATAAAACTAACAAACACTCTTTTTATATTGATAATTTTGCTTTATAGACAAAAATCCTATATTTTTCAGCCATTGTCGAATTCCTAGAACCATCAGAAGCCAGGAAAGCCTTCACAAAACTAGCATACTCCAAATTCAAAAATGCCCCATTGTATCTCGAGTGGGCCCCTGAAAATTCCCTTTCAGAAGCCAAATCTTTCACAGCAAAACAAGAAGAAATAAACCCTTTTAAAACACCACAAATTACTACAAATCCAGAACCAATTATTGAAAGCGAAGATGATGAAGAACCAGAACCAGATACAACGTTGTTTGTTAAAAATCTCAACTTCCAAACAACTGATGAAGGCCTTAAAAACCATTTCGAAGGCTGTGGCAAGTTGAAATATGCCACAGTTGCAGTTAAAAAGGACATAAATAATCCCGGCAATAAACTATCAATGGGTTATGGTTTTGTGCAATTCTACTTAAAAAAAAGCGCTGATAAAGCGCTGAAATCTTTACAGCAAAGCGTCCTTGACAATAAGTCTTTGGAATTGAAGCGATCAGAAAGGACGCTGAAAAATGAAGTTACTGCAACAAGAAAAGTTACTAAGTTAATCAAGCAAACAGGCTCAAAGATTTTAGTTAGAAATGTCCCATTTCAAGCCAACAGGAAGGAAATATTTGAGCTTTTTAATACTTTTGGCGAAATAAAAGCTTTGCGGTTGCCCAAAAAAATGACTCCCGGTGCTGATTCACATAGAGGATTTGCATTTGTTGATTATGTTTCTTCTACAGATGCCAAAGTAATTAATTTATTGGAAAAACTATTTGAAATTAAGGGGTTTATTTTTTTAGGCTGCATTTGAAGCACTGAGTCAAAGTACCCATTTATATGGGAGGAGGCTTGTTTTAGAATGGGCCTCAACTGAGGAAGGTGTTGAGGAAATAAGGAAAAGGACTGCGGATCATTTTGGGGAAGCTGAAGAGGCTAGCAAATCCAAAAAAAGCGTTTTTAATATGGATTGAATAATAAAGGTATGAGGACAACAAAACCTTTAATTTTACAATAATAAAAAAATCAATCTGGACAAAGTTTTATTTATTTTCGCATATAATTTCATATAAAGTTTCTCATTTAGGAATGCAGTTTTTACATCCTCATGATTCTATTGATTTGCAAATGCCAATATAAATCTGGAATTTGTAATTCTTGCTATAGGAGCAAAAGTTTCATTGTAATCGGTTAAATATTCCCGACTTTAAGGGCCAGTTTATTTAGTTTAGCTGTTGGTTAACTAATAATTATCATTGGTTAACCGACAGTTAAACTAAATATGTTTTATTGGGTTACCAAATTCATAATTTTTAATTGTTAATTCTGGTTTAAAGTCAACGATATTTAAGTTTTTTGGCTTGTCATTTCTCTTTGGCCTTAATAATGTATTTTTGTCTCAATTATTGTTTATTTCAGGCTCTTGAATTTTCTCTCATATTTCATTTATTATCACTTTAGTTTTTGAGTGAAAAAATTGTTGATAAAGTCTTACTTTAAAAAACATCATTATTTTTAAAAAATCATAACTCAATTGCTTTAAGTTTTTAGTATTTTTTACATTGAACTTTTAGGAAAAAGTCCTCGAAATGTCAACTTTCCACTTACTTTAGTTTTTGAATGAAAACATTGTGTATAAAGTCTTACTTTGAAAAACATCATTATTTTTAAAAAATCATAACTCCATTAATAATAACTCAATGGCTTTGAGTTTTCAGTATTTTTTACATTGAACTTTTAGGAAAAAGTCCTCAAAATTTCAACTCTCCACTCACTTTAATTTTTGAATGAAAAAATTGTGTGTAAAGTCTTACTTTACAAAACATTATAATTTTAAAAAAATCATAATTCCATTAATAATAACTCAATGGCTTTGAGTTTTTAGTATTTTTTGCATTGAATGTTTAGGAAAAAGTCCTCAAAATTCCAACTTTTCACTCAGTTTAGTTTTTGAATGAAAAAATTGTGTGTAAAGTCTTACTTTACAAAACATTATAATTTTAAAAAAATCATAATTCCATTAATAATAACTCAATGGCTTTGAGTTTTTAGTATTTTTCACATTGAATCTTAAGGAAAAAGTCCTCGAAATTCCAACTCTCCACTCACTTTAGTTTTTGAGTGAAAAAATTGTGTGTAAAGTTTTACTTTACAAAACATCATTATTTCGAAAAAATCATAACTCCATTAATAATAAATCAATGGCTTTGAGTTTTTAGTATTTTCTACATTGAATGTTTAGGAAAAAGTCCTCAAAATTCCAACTTTCCACTCATTTTTGTTTTTGAATAAAAAAAATGTGTTTAAAGTCTTACTTTACAAAACATTATTATTTTTAAAAAATCATAAATCCATTAATAATAACTCAATGGCTTTGAGTTTTTAGTATTTTTTACATTGAATGTTTAGGAAAAAGTCCTCAAAATTCCAACTTTTCACTCAGTTTAGTTTTTGAATGAAAAAATTGTGTGTAAAGTCTTACTTTACAAAACATTATAATTTTAAAAAAATCATAATTCCATTAATAATAACTCAATGGCTTTGAGTTTTTAGTATTTTTTACATTGAATGTTTAAGAAAAAGTCCTCAAAATTCCAACTTTTCACTCAGTTTAGTTTTTGAATGAAAAAATTGTGTGTAAAGTCTTACTTTACAAAACATTATAATTTTAAAAAAATCATAATTCCATTAATAATAACTCAATGGCTTTGAGTTTTTAGTATTTTTTACATTGAATGTTTAGGAAAAAGTCCTCGAAATTCCAACTCTCCACTCACTTTAGTTTTTGAGTGAAAAAATTGTGTGTAAAGTTTTACTTTACAAAACATCATTATTTCGAAAAAATCATAACTCCATTAATAATAACTCAATTGCTTTAAGTTTTTAGTATTTTTTAAATTGAATCTTTAGGAAAAAGTTCTCAAAATTTCAACTCTCCACTCACTTTAGTTTTTGAGTGAAAAAATTGTGTGTAAAGTCTTACTATAGAAAACATCTTTATTTCAAAAAAATCATAACTCCATTAATAATAACTCAATTGCTTTAAGTTTTTAGTATTTTTTAAATTGAATCTTTAGGAAAAAGTTCTCAAAATTTCAACTCTCCACTCACTTTAGTTTTTGAGTGAAAAAATTGTGTGTAAAGTCTTACTATAGAAAACATCTTTATTTCAAAAAAATCATAACTCCATTAATAATAACTCGATTACTTTGAGTTTTTAGTATTTTTTACATTGAATCTTTAGGAAAAAGTCCTTAAAATTTCAACTCTCCACTCACTTTAGTTTTTGAGTGGAAAAATTGTGTGTAAAGTCTTACTATAGAAAACATCATTATTTTAAAAAAATCATAATTCCATTAATAATAAATCAATGCCTTTGAGTTTTTAGTATTTTCTACATTGAATCTTTAGGAAAAAGTCCTCAAAATTTCAACTCTCCACTCACTTTAGTTTTTGAGTGAAAAAATTGTGTGTAAAGTTTTACTATAGAAAACATCATTATTTCAAAAAAATCATAACTCCATTAATAATAACTCAATTGCTTTAAGTTTTTAGTATTTTTTAAATTGAATCTTTAGGAAAAAGTTCTCAAAATTTCAACTCTCCACTCACTTTAGTTTTTGAGTGAAAAAATTGTGTGTAAAGTCTTACTATAGAAAACATCATTATTTTAAAAAAATCATAATTCCATTAATAATAAATCAATGCCTTTGAGTTTTTAGTATTTTCTACATTGAATCTTTAGGAAAAAGTCCTCAAAATTTCAACTCTCCACTCACTTTAGTTTTTGAGTGAAAAAATTGTGTGTAAAGTTTTACTTTACAAAACATCATTATTTCGAAAAAATCATAACTCCATTAATAATAAATCAATGGCTTTGAGTTTTTAGTATTTTCTACATTGAATGTTTAGGAAAAAGTCCTCAAAATTCCAACTTTCCACTCATTTTTGTTTTTGAATAAAAAAAATGTGTTTAAAGTCTTACTTTACAAAACATTATTATTTTTAAAAAATCATAAATCCATTAATAATAACTCAATGGCTTTGAGTTTTTAGTATTTTTTACATTGAATGTTTAGGAAAAAGTCCTCAAAATTCCAACTTTTCACTCAGTTTAGTTTTTGAATGAAAAAATTGTGTGTAAAGTCTTACTTTACAAAACATTATAATTTTAAAAAAATCATAATTCCATTAATAATAACTCAATGGCTTTGAGTTTTTAGTATTTTTTACATTGAATGTTTAAGAAAAAGTCCTCAAAATTCCAACTTTTCACTCAGTTTAGTTTTTGAATGAAAAAATTGTGTGTAAAGTCTTACTTTACAAAACATTATAATTTTAAAAAAATCATAATTCCATTAATAATAACTCAATGGCTTTGAGTTTTTAGTATTTTTTACATTGAATGTTTAGGAAAAAGTCCTCGAAATTCCAACTCTCCACTCACTTTAGTTTTTGAGTGAAAAAATTGTGTGTAAAGTTTTACTTTACAAAACATCATTATTTCGAAAAAATCATAACTCCATTAATAATAACTCAATTGCTTTAAGTTTTTAGTATTTTTTAAATTGAATCTTTAGGAAAAAGTTCTCAAAATTTCAACTCTCCACTCACTTTAGTTTTTGAGTGAAAAAATTGTGTGTAAAGTCTTACTATAGAAAACATCTTTATTTCAAAAAAATCATAACTCCATTAATAATAACTCAATTGCTTTAAGTTTTTAGTATTTTTTAAATTGAATCTTTAGGAAAAAGTTCTCAAAATTTCAACTCTCCACTCACTTTAGTTTTTGAGTGAAAAAATTGTGTGTAAAGTCTTACTATAGAAAACATCTTTATTTCAAAAAAATCATAACTCCATTAATAATAACTCGATTACTTTGAGTTTTTAGTATTTTTTACATTGAATCTTTAGGAAAAAGTCCTTAAAATTTCAACTCTCCACTCACTTTAGTTTTTGAGTGGAAAAATTGTGTGTAAAGTCTTACTATAGAAAACATCATTATTTTAAAAAAATCATAATTCCATTAATAATAAATCAATGCCTTTGAGTTTTTAGTATTTTCTACATTGAATCTTTAGGAAAAAGTCCTCAAAATTTCAACTCTCCACTCACTTTAGTTTTTGAGTGAAAAAATTGTGTGTAAAGTTTTACTATAGAAAACATCATTATTTCAAAAAAATCATAACTCCATTAATAATAACTCAATTGCTTTAAGTTTTTAGTATTTTTTAAATTGAATCTTTAGGAAAAAGTTCTCAAAATTTCAACTCTCCACTCACTTTAGTTTTTGAGTGAAAAAATTGTGTGTAAAGTCTTACTATAGAAAACATCTTTATTTCAAAAAAATCATAACTCCATTAATAATAACTCGATTACTTTGAGTTTTTAGTATTTTTTACATTGAATCTTTAGGAAAAAGTCCTTAAAATTTCAACTCTCCACTCACTTTAGTTTTTGAGTGGAAAAATTGTGTGTAAAGTCTTACTATAGAAAACATCATTATTTTAAAAAAATCATAATTCCATTAATAATAAATCAATGCCTTTGAGTTTTTAGTATTTTCTACATTGAATCTTTAGGAAAAAGTCCTCAAAATTTCAACTCTCCACTCACTTTAGTTTTTGAGTGGAAAAATTGTGTGTAAAGTCTTACTATAGAAAACATCATTATTTTAAAAAAATCATAATTCCATTAATAATAAATCAATGCCTTTGAGTTTTTAGTATTTTCTACATTGAATCTTTAGGAAAAAGTCCTCAAAATTTCAACTCTCCACTCACTTTAGTTTTTGAGTGGAAAAATTGTGTGTAAAGTCTTACTATAGAAAACATCATTATTTTAAAAAAATCATAATTCCATTAATAATAAATCAATGCCTTTGAGTTTTTAGTATTTTCTACATTGAATCTTTAGGAAAAAGTCCTCAAAATTTCAACTCTCCACTCACTTTAGTTTTTGAGTGAAAAAATTGTGTGTAAAG